CATCTTGGACTTCTCTCTCCGTGAGGGGTCAAATTAGAAGAAGAAGAAGAAGAAGAAAAAGAAAAAGTCAAATGGATGGTGGGAGAGAAAAAGGGGAAGAAGAAATCTGCACGTCCAATTTTCTTCACGCGATTTCAAATAATAAATGGACACCTATGGCAAGTGTTTGTTCGGCGACCTTATTCTTATTCTTCTTTACTTTCTTTTTCTTATTCTTATTCTTTAGTTTTCTTCTGATTGCAACAGATGCGATCGGAAGTTGCTGTCTTGCGGTTTGTCGCCCTTTTAGAGAAATTCTGTTCTTTTTATTGATCTTCGTTGTATCTTCTTTTCTAAAAGTTATCGATGATGATTGAACATTTTTTTCTTTTGGAATACACTGTTTTTCTCAATGTTTTTATAAGAAAATCCTGTTAGGTTATTTGTCGATATTTGTTGAATCAGTATTTTTCAATAGTAATCAGTATTACATCGATTAAATATAATATAAAAATGTACAATTTTTAAATAGATAATTAGCATGTTTGTTATAATCATTTTAATAAATCACTGGCAGTAGATTTAACCGATCCAAGGAAAAGCATACTGTCGCATAATTATTCCTAACAAAAAAACTTAAACACATGAAAGTACACTTAACAAATCCATATCCTAATTTACAACCCTGAAAAAATTATGAAAAATATTGTTTATGCAATTAATCCCCTAAGAAATTATCGTAAATATTACTCAATTGAATATTTTCATTTATTTTATTAAATGATAAATTTCAGTTTTCTAATCTTCAGTATTTATACTTTAACCTTTTGAGGGAGTACTTGATGCGTGAAAATTTAAAATGAAGTATGCGAGGGCGGTTTTAACCGTCAAAATGAAGCATTCTGATCCTGAAGAATAGAAAAAAGAAGGTCTAGGGGTACCTGCCTCGCATCCATTCTTAAGTACAGCCAGTGCATCTAGGACATGGATTTCCAAGATGTAGGATAGAAAGGAAAATACGAATGAATAGACTCGAACCACGCTTGAAAGACTTTTCCTTTAAAGACGTTAATGTGCGTGTTGAAAGTTTTTATTCTATACACCATTGACTGTTTTATTACAAGTATGATAAGAAAACACTACTAAAGTTAATATTACCTAATTATTTTTTTCGTAATTGGACTAATATAACTTTTCTCAATATCGAGAAAAATTTTTGCTAACAATACAATACTCATGTGCATTAGCATTAAGTTCTTATTGATTTTTAGAAAAATTTATTTATATTAACAAAAAAAAAAATATTTTTCAATCGACACGCGAAAGTTTCGGGCAACATATCTGTTTCTTATTTTCATAATTCTTTTCTTTTTATTGCTAACATTGTGTACTTCATATTGTGAAACTTTTTTATCTCTGTGGTACCTTATCAATGACAAAAATGATTCATGATCATCTTGGCCAATTAAAATGTAGTTATTTTTCTTACGATTCGATAAGATATAAATGTATTATAGTTTTCCGATATAACAACGACGATTAAGATTTTTATCAAATACGAATTAATGAATTTCTACATAAATTAAGGTCTATCATTTGTTTTATGTAAGATTGAATTTATTTGTAAATATTTAAACAACAACAGTATTTAATTATAATAATATTAGAATTGTTATAAATTTTGACATACTAATACTATTTAACAATAATTTTGCTATACTATGTTTAAATGTCTACTCTAATTATTCGATTAAACAGTGACTTTGTTTTACGAACGACGGTGAAGCTAGAAGATTAAATTCGTTTTCAAAGTTTCTGCAATTTTGCACTTTTCTACTTACTTATCTTTACCGTGCAGATGAGGTAGCATAATTCAAATTAGGTTTTTAAATAGTACGTTAATAATTCTTTAAAATGATTTGCTTCAATTCTCTGAAATCTCATTTGTTAGTGAACTATTCTAAATTAAACACAAATATAGTGAATGGTTTTAATATAGGAATCAAACAATTTCATTTTGTTGTAAGAGAACTTATTTTATATAATAATATACTGCATTTATTATTTCAAACATATTTCGTTATTTGAAATCATTCATAAGAATGTCGAAAAAGTTCGTTGCAGATCAGAAATTTTCCAGAAAACGGTTAGTCCGTTTGAAAAAAAAGAAAGAAAAGGGTTCAAAGGATGGAAAAAGGTCGGCTTGGTTCTGTTGTTTTCATTATTTATCTCGAAAAAAAATCTAAAATATTGTAGATTAAATTGAACAAGGAATTTCGTGATTTTGTTATACAGCGTATTGATCCTATTTTTTATTGTACATAATTAATATAAATTGTTTATAAACATAAGGAACAAGTTCGTCAGAGATCGAAAAGCATCGAGAAAACGGTCAGTCAATTTCGAAAGTAAAAAAGAAAAGGGATTAAGGGGGAGGGAAAAGGGTCGTCTTGGTTTGGTTGTATTTGCACGTGCAGCAGTTCGAATGCACAGGTCAGACGGTGCAGCAACCAAAGCCCCCCCACAGCGAGTACCGTAAAGAAGTTACCGTGCATTCTCGGTGCTCCAATACGGTGTGCCCTGTGGATTAAGGGCACCGGCCCTTGCCATTGGTTATTCTCTATCCCTACCATTGAAAGAAGTTTCTTATAAAAGGTGAGGCACATTGCACCAAGTTGGTTAGTCTCTCCCGGCGCGCACGACTTCCAGTCAGTCGTTCGGCGTCTCCCGGACAAGCAACATCGTTTCGCTTAAATTTATATTCTCAATTCTTTTTCTTATTCTCTTTCTGCTTAGTTTCTTTTCCCACTTGCAACGGAATTCCACCCATCGTGCGTATATGTGTGCTGCTAGTTCGTGCAACAAGTGTTATAAGAACGATTTCATTTTGTCTAATAATCCACAATTTATTCAACTCAAACTTTTTACCATTATTTACAATATTAAATTATGTTCTTACTTTAACCACATTGAAGATAATAACATGTTAAGAGAAACCAAAAGAATGGGAAAAAAAAATATGGAAAATTGTGAAGTGTGTAAATGTGCAAGGTATAGTTTTTCGATTACAAATCGTAATAAGAAATTCTATTACCGAGCTATATCGTGTTATATCATTCCTATCTTACAAGTCGTTATACTACGAAAGAAAGAAAGCACAGTTCATCAAATTCTAATTTATCAGTACAGTGCAGTGTCGTGAAGCGATATTTATTAATTTCGAAGTAAATTTCCAAGTAAATTGGAAATACGAAAAATTTGTGCGATTTTTCTATTCTCGTTCAATTTTATACGGATTTTTAACATTGTAACGTAGAAGAAAGAAGAGGGGGGAGGGATGGAGAAAATATTAGAAATTCTTCCGCAATAGGGGGTATTTCAAGAGTCCTTTTACTAAACAAAAAAATTCTTTTTCGTCGGATATTTGAAATACCTGCATACTTTCTTAACAAATCCTATAACAGGAGATTCGTATCTTAAAACGAACAACAAAATATTATAATTCTATTAAATAAAACCCAATATTAATTAATCGCTTTATTCTTATTTTCTCAGTAAAAGCGACTTTTGAGACACCCCATATATTGAAGATAAATTTCTACTACACGTTGCTCGTGCTCGAAATTCAATAATGTGAAACTTTGTTAATTCTAAAATATATTATATTAATATTCAAAATAAATATGTTTAATCGTCTATATAGAAATTTAATTCGAATATCTCAAGGATTTACAATCGATATATTGACTATTAAATAAAATAAAATAAAGAGAAACACACAAAAAAAAGTGTGTAAATTTTTCGGCACATTTGATTGGTTACATGTCGTTCGATTTGTGCAAATTTGATTGGTACTCGCGTCATTTAGTTTCGCGCGTTCGATCGGTACTCGTCGTCAATGTTCGCGCGTCTTCGTGTGGTCTCGGGCGTTCCACTGTGCTCTCTCTCACCCTCTCTCTCACTCTCTCTCTTTCTCTCTTTCTTTCTCTCTTTCTTTTTCTCCCTTCACCTCCCACCACTCGACGATTATTGCCAGTTGCGCGCCAACTCTCGGCATGAAGAGAAGCGTGAATTTTGTTCTAGCGATTGAACGAGTTCTCAGGGCCAAAAAGTAGGACGGTGAAGTTTCTGAATGAAAATCGAAGATATATATATATATACAAATATATATACATATATATATATATATATACATATATATATATATATATATGTATATACAAATGTATATAATACGTATAGGATAATACAACTTGAATAGGATCTCGATCTAAAAAATCCTCGGTAATGACTAGTGTTTAGTCAAAAATAAACAAAAGAAAGCAAAATTTGTTGTTTTTCGAACGTAAAACAATTTGTATTAGCACTTGATCACGTGGGGGGAGTAGCTTTACCAACTTGTTGTCAATACGCACGCTTCGAAGGAGCATCGAGAGATCACGGACATATTTGAAGCAATGATACTTGTGTGTGATCAATTTTTACTTTCTAAAAGAAAGAACAAGAAAATTATTTTTCTTAAATGCAGTTAAAACTAAAATTCATAATAAACGCGGTAGATTATTTTTTTTTTTTTCATTTTTTTCACAACTCGTTGCTTTAACTTGGATGCTATTTCTCTCGACTCCTTTGCATGCACAGGCATACTTTGTTGTTCGCACGTATTGTTTGCTCTTTTTTTAGTGTCTCTCTCTCCCTCTTTTTTTTTTATCTCATAGTTTTCTCAAATTATTATATTAGTACAGCACACATAGTTCTATAGATCATTGATGCAGTTAGTAATTAGAAAGGTATTGCAACAAAAATAGTTCACTTTATTTTGTTACTTTTTTAATGAATTTGTTTTTGGGGATAAATTTAGATAGTTGAGAGGTTAGTCGGTCGAGTTATAATTTTTCCCGCCCTTTTCTTATTTATTTATTTTTATCTTTTTGTTTTTGTATTGATATTTATATTTATATTCGACGATTTATTTGGATACATTAATTAAGGAAATTTTTCTTTCTTTCTCTTGATTACAGTCTTTTCAAGAATGTATTTAGAATTAGAAGTACGCCGGAAAAGAAATTAACACTTAAACCAAAAGCACGCAGACTAGTGGGCATGGCAACACGAAGAATTGTCAGTCTCGACACTCTAACGCCATCTACCAACAAAGAAAATGGAACTATTAATCGAAACGTTATCACTAGCCCGCAAAAGGTAAGGAAGTTTTTTAACTTATCGATTCACGAATCTTTTTTACGACATATATTTGAATCGTTGTTTCATCATTTTTTTTTTTTTTCTAATGAAATAACGAATTCGAATTAAAATTTGGTTTTTTACCGTACACTAGTCCGTTTTTAATTTATCCGGTTTATGCAAAATCGTACCACTCGACTTTACATTCAATTTCCGTTTGGAGATACATTCAGTGATAATCGAAGTCTATCCGAAATTCTAAATAAACACGCTTTAGATTATAGACGACTCGGTGTGTCGTCGTAAAATACAGCTGTGTCCTGTGCTGAGAAATTTCATCGTGGCAATATCGTTGGAAAAAAAAAAGAACAAAATAAATAAATGTCTTTAGTCGCATCGGTACATCGAAAGATCATAGATAGACGACAGGATCTTTAGGAAAAACTATTATTCCTTTTTTCGAATATAATTCTTAGTCAAATATTCCCCCCATCTCCGGAAGTATCCCTGTTTGAAATAATAAGATAATAAACTTTCTCGAAACATTTTATTAATTTTATTATCATCACTGTTATGGGGGTTTTTCAAATTGATGATGTACCAGTATATTTTCGATCAAACTCTAGAAATGATTTCAATAAATATTTTTCAAATTGTTAAATCGAGTGGGCAGATACTAATATTTTGTTTGCAAATTTCTCAGTTCATTTTTCTACTTTTTTATTTTATTATAAATATTTTACATTTATTTCAAATATTGACTATATATATAAAAATGTATTGAAAATAACAAACTCAATAGATAGTCAGCCCTTAGATGATCTTCACAACAGTTCTCAGATATATCGAAGAAATATCTATATGTAATTTGTAGTCATTATAAAATTGATTGAAAAAAAGATTATTTTTAGTCTTCTGTTATTTCATTTCTTTCGTATTTTATTACGGAAAGGTGTTTGATTATATGTCTTCTTGTTTGATTATCTTACAATTAGATATTTTCGATCTGCTAGATCTACTAAACTTGGAATATATTATTCTGAAATATCCTGTAGAACATATGCTTTGATAAACATACATTGACATAGTTTCAATTGGTCGTTAGCTTTTCAGATTTTCCATAATCGTATGCGCAACACCTTGCACTTTATCGACGGTTGTATCCACGATATACCGGACAATATATTTTTCTTTCTCGTTTTTAAATCAGCTTTAAATTTTTCATAGCGGAAGTGCGACACGACTTAAAAATAAAATAAAACATTTTTGTGTGTTAAAAATGAAATAATTTCATTCAAAACATTTCGATTTAAATACAATTAGAACGTTAAATATTTTCTGTAAAAGAAAATTTAACATTTAAAAATATTTATACTTGTTATTTGATTAATATTTCTTATTAAATATATGTGTAAATATATTTTCTAAAATAAATACAGTATATATGAGCATTTGTTTTGTTATTATGTTCGTACAATACCTATTGTTTAATTGGTCTGTTATAATTTTAATTCTTGATCAATAAGTTGATCAATATTCGTTGCATTTTGTTAGTATAATATTGTTTATTTGATTAGTATCATTTTACATACTAAAATATTTTAGATACTGATCATGTATTCAAAATACTATCAAACAATTATTTTTACAAATATTATAATTAGAATACTGATAAAAAACAGTATTTTTGAAGAATCTAAATAAATTTAAGAAACGAGCTTGTTTTTTATATATATATTTTTACATTTCTATAGTTCTATTTTTATTATTTTATTTGTATTACACAAAACCCACGTAATTACTAAAAACTTAAATATGTTCCATGTGTTTCATGTTTAATTTTTAATTTGTAATATATTGTATACCTTATAATGTTAAAATGCAAAAAATAAACCGCTACTACTAATAAAATAAAAATAAAATATTTCTGCATATTTTATTTGTTTTCCCTTAGTAAACCACAAGTTGATAACTTAATATTTATAAATTCGGTTGCCTAAAAAATGAAAATATATTTAATTATTAATCGAATACACAGGGTGTCCTATAATTGGTAGTACATAAACGAACAAAGAGTGATTCTACATGAAAAACTAATTCGAAAATGTAGAATACAAATTTGTTTATATAATTATTTGTTTTCGAGAAAAATAAGTTTGAAAATTTGTCAAATATACGTACATACAATTGACGCATTCATATTTTCTATTTATCTCCGTTAATGAATAAAATAAAATTATTATATGTGTAATTATTAATTCGGTACCTTTTAAATCAATTTAATATTTATTTATAAAATAATTATACGTCATATCGAACTTCTTAAAGAAAAAAAAATGGCGATTTGATGCAATGAATTGAATATCAAGGCACCAAATTATAATTTCTAAAAAAAAAGAAAATGAACATGATATGCTAGGCAAATATTGATTAGTATTATTGTTCTGATTACAGACGACTGTAAATAAAAAGTCACGTTTCCCATTGGAAGATTGCGACTCGAACAATCAGGATAAAGAATATGGAAGTACTAATTTACTCGAGAAAGATAACCGTACTGGTTTCCAATTTGCCGAACCTCTTGGAGTTGCACCAAGGCGTATGTCTGTTGATCAACGAAGTCCAATGCAATCTCCTATAAGATCATCACCTCATGGACTAGTGACGGATCCAATGATTTTTCGGAGTTTATCATCGGGTTACGAGAGTATGGACGATGATTTGAACGATCTAATGGATTTAGATGCACTGGATGAGGCAACCCATTTACCAAACGGTCTAACGAGTCTTCTCTCTGGTAGCATTGTTGGATCAGAAATAATGGAATATGCAATCATAACAACCCCAGAATATCCACGTACAAAAGTAAAACGTTCATTTCGTCGTTCGTTATCACTTCAAAACGACAGAACTAATCCACAATCATCGATATCGAAAGTACGTTCCTGTCTATTTCGTTCACCATCAACAACCTGTTCAACTCGTAAACTTTCTTTCGATGAAGATATACAATCCCGCACACCGTCGTATTCCAGTATCATGGATTCATCCTCAATCCAACCAACAAGATCTTGTAAAAGATCAGAACCACCAGCATCGCTTAGTCCTCGGTTAATGAAAAGGTCTAGAATATCGGTTGATTTTCAACACATACCGGAGAACGTAGAATTGGAAATATCATCGAATAAAAAGGCATCGTACGTAACGGATATCGAAACGAAACTAGTCAAAAAATCTCATAAATCTAATTTAAGCATAGAGGATATCACGGATGAAGTTGACTTTTGCAATGTCTCGATAAAAGAATCTTTTGATAATAAATTTGAGGATAGCCAAGCGCATGCCTTGATCAAATCAGCGATACATCGTAGTGTGACCGATGCCGATCTAACCGGTGATTTTAGTAAACCTTGCATTCTACCTCTTGCCGATGGTCGACACGATGATCTCAAATCTATCTCCGTGGATACCTTGGCTGCTCTGATGCGTGGAGATTTTAAACAATACATCGATTCCTTTGTAATCGTTGATTGTCGATATCCCTACGAATTCGATGGCGGACACATCGAAGGAGCTCTCAATCTTTACAACAAAGAATTAATTGAACAACATCTACTCGATCCTTTAACAAACGTCCCAGAAATTCAACCAAATTCAATCAAACGACGTATTCTCGTATTCCATTGTGAATTTTCTTGGGAACGTGGGCCGAACCTTTCACGTTTTTTACGAAACATCGATCGCCAACGTAATAAAGAACATTATCCTGCTCTTTATTATCCAGAAGTTTATCTTTTACACGGTGGTTATGAACAATTCTACAAAGAACAACGTAATCTTTGTGTTCCCCAAGGTTACAAACCAATGTCTGATCCAAATCACGAGGCCGATCTCAAACAATTTCGTGTTAAGAGCAAAAGTTGGCAGGGTGAAAAACCCGTAAGTAGGTTGAACAGTCTTGTGGTTAGGACGAATATCAAACGATTAGGTTTCTAAAACTTTTTTCTTTTCTTCTATTATCGTTTTGTTTTTTAATATTTTTTTTCTTTTTTTTCGAATCTCTTCTTCGTATTCTCTCGTCAAGTTTCCTTACTTGGATACGTTTAAAAGTGATAAACTAATTTTTGGTGATGTATTATTACAAAAAAAAACATTAACTAATCCTATAATTTAATTTAATTTCTTTTTATATATATGTTTCGGGATTGAACGCGCGAATTTGTTTTTTCTTCTTCTTCTTCTTTTTTTCTTCATACTATTTTTTCCTATCTTTACTCAAAATACAATCGCGCGTTCAAAGTGCAAAAGGAACAAGGATGCTCGGATCGAGTTATCCTTGTCCAAGAAATATGTGAGCTAGTGAACTTGTTTAGTGTCCGATTTGAGATTACATCTTAGTGACTTTTAGTGAAAATTTTCTTTTCCTTTTCCTTTATTTTTTATCCTTCTTTTTTTTTTTTATTTTAACTTTTTGTTTCTTTGTACATACCTATTACTTAATTTCGTTCTTCCATATGAATAAATTTAAAATCATACAAACGGTAGCCAACAAGACAGAAAAAGAAATTAAAAAAGAGAAAAGAACAACAAATCAATATACCTATATAAATACAAATGATCAATTAAAAAAACATTTTAGAGCGAAATAATTTATAATATTAGAAAATGAAATATCTCCGGTATATTATACTTTTTAAGATGCTTATCTTGAAAGAAAATATTGTTAATATGTAATATCGTAAGCTTCATCAATTGTAAGAAAACAAAATTTACGACAATTTATCTAAATTAGGAGAAGAACGTTCTTTTTGGATCATTCCTTCTCATTGGAAAAGAAAAGGCAAACAAAAACAAATCTAAGGAGAATTAATAAATCAAAGATGCAATAGCTCCGTTAGCCTGATCTATTTAAAAACGATCGGAGGAGCAGCGTGGAGCCATAAGAGAGTCTAACGCGTCGCAAATCTTTAATGCTTCCATTTAAAATAATTTTGGGCGAGCATCCCACTTGTACACTTAGACGCTCTACTCTCTTATGACTTTACGTGGTAAAAGTAGTCTTATTACTCCATCATCATTGTTTATTTTAAAGAAATAATTTTGCTGTAGATGTGCGAAAGAGAGAAAAAGTGTATGTATGTGTACGAGTATGAATATATGTATATGTATGCGTATGAGTATGTTTATGAGAAAGAAATAGAGAATATGTATATGTGTATAAGAGAAAGAGAGATAGAAAACAAATTAAAAAATTTAGTATTTTGTTATCGTCGTTGAGAACACTCAACAGACGATACCACCAAAGTATTTCCTACCTAGCTAATTCTCTAAGTTAATTACCTTTTCTTCTTTTGACGACATCTATTACGTTCAAAATGGCAGTGTATGCTTATGGAACATAAATGGATGACAAGAGTATTCCTAAATGTGCAAAGTTCCCAATGTTATAACGTAACTATTATTCAAAGTTAAATATACATTGTAAGCTAAACTATACATACACGATTTGATTTTATTTTATCAATGTACATCTGTTTAATTCTTAAACGATGTTTCCTTTTTTCTTTATGTTATTATTGTGTTTACGATGAAACAATGAAAAAAATATTACAATCTAATGTAAAGATAGTTGAAATGTACAGTTGGATACTAATTAATGCTGAGGAAATTACGAAACTCTTGGGATTAATAATACGGTTGGGATTTTTGTAAATAAATCTTATAAATAATTATTAATCAACACACATCTATATATATATATATATATATATATATAACTTTGATTTTCAACATAAATTCATATAACGAAATAAATTTAAATGACTATTTAGTAATTTACATTCTGCTAACATTAACATTACTTCAAAAGTGATCAAATATTTCTAATTTGTTGGCAATATTGAAACACCACAAATCAACAAAGATATTGTATTTCCTTTAGCTTTTTCTATAATTCTCTTTCAGATAATTCGAAAGGATACAAAACTACTAATAATTGAAAACTATTCTTTCTACTACCCTTAAAATCATGGGACCTGGTTTTTGTGCTGGAAATAATATTTCCACTAATTGGAATATTATTTAACATAGGAATATTATTTGTACATTATAATACCCCATTTATAGATAGGTGGATTGAAAAATTTTTAGCTTAACGCACGAGAAGTGTTGAAAAGGTTTTGAGTTTTATGGTTTTCCACACCGTATTATGGTCAAAACTTTTCAATCCTCCTCGTGTGAATTCATCAAATCGGTTGATAAATTTTGAGAAAGCATTACTAACTGCTTCCAAGAAATCAAACGATCAATTCAGATGACAAAAAAAACTGTCAGAATTGACAAATTACAACAAAATCTTGTTTCACCAATGCAAGTATTCACACATCTTTGGTAACCCGTGGAAAATTATTGGAACATGGTTGAGAAGCAATATCGCTATCCCTCATGTGATCCTGACCTTGCACCATTAGATTATCATTTATTTCAAAGTTTGCAAAATTCTTTAAATAATAAAACTTTCACTAATGGTAATGACTTGAAGTCGCTCTTAGTTCAATTTTTTGCTGATAAAGACCAAAAGTTTTATCAGCATGGAATCATGAAGTTACCAGAAAGATGGCAAAAAATTATCAAACAAAATGGAAAATATTATATATGATTAATTAAAGTTTATTATTTGTATAACAAAAATTTATTTTTATTTCACACTACAAAACCGAAATTATTTTCTTGCGAATACAATATTTTTATTACATATGTGTTATTACAATTAATAAATGATATTTAATACCTAAATGTTTATGGCAATGATTACAATGATTATGTTTTTCTTTCCTTGTATTATTGTTTTTTCTTGTTTCACTTATTGGATTAATTGATGCAATTCGTTCCGCCAATAAAGCAAATATCTGTGACGTAGTCACTTGAAATAAAAAGTAGGGCAGTGATCAACTATTTCAGCTACTTAGACCCACATTCTTTCTAAAGACAAATTCTTGAGCTCGATACAAGCCAGCTTGGTACAATTTATACATCCATAGTCCTAATCTTTAAATTGTTTATGAAAGCAACCCTAACGTAGCATCAATCAACCATGATCTATCAGAAATAAAAGGAAGTTACATTTCAATAACACTCCTAAATAGACATATTTCGAGCAAATTGATATTAATTTCTTTTTGCAAAATATGTAACATTGTAGTATACATAGAGGCAGTAACATTGTACTGAAGTACGTTGTAATTTACTTTCAATTGCGTAAAATAGATTTTGATCTATGATACATATTTTATGTATAATCTTTTGTATAATTACGCGTTTAGTATATATATATATATAGGCTTATTTCATTTTCCTAATTTTTTTTCTACGCGTGCATTATTAATTAATTTGTCTCTTATTACAATTAACATTAAAATAAATGTCAAACTACTATTACTAAAATAAATGCAACCAAAGATATGAATAGTAATATGATCATATATAGATGTTACCAAATGTGCGTATATAAAATGATCTTAATGATTCAAGTAGCATTACGTTTTTTATTGATATTACATTTTCATTCGTGGACAAAGTTTAATAGATAAATCCTATTTTTTTTATTGTTATAATACATATGTATGTATATTATTTTATGTTATGTTTACTATTTATATTATTATATATATTTTATTGATAAGAAATATATATATATAGAATAATTTTTCCTTTTTTTGTATATAATATATGCATATTTTTGTTGTTGAAATTATATACATATATATAGGTTTTAATAATATTAAATGATTCTAAAAGTTCGTGAAAATCGAACTTTTGCAATCACTCAATATATTGCTGTTGTATCTTTCACAAATCTTCAATATCAATGCGATATATTCAAAAGAATATTATACTTAAACGTTAATCTATGTGTGTATAAAGTAAATAAATAAAAATTCGAGTTACAAAAGATACTACAATTAAAGAAAAAAATAAAAGCATAAATATAAGACGTATATATCGTACTGTGTGATATTTCCTTCCTTAAATATATACATGTAAATTTAGTTTTATTCTAATATTTTTAACTACGTACTACATTTTTTTAGTAACCTTTATGTATCCTTAACTATATTTATCGATAAAAACATTATCTGTGCTTGTGACTTTAAAATCATAAATCCTATTTTGTAACATATTTTATAGTGCCTTATTTTATCATCGTTATCGTCATCATCATCAGTATCATTCTATTTCAATTATCTATGATATATTATTCTTACATATTTTTCTTTACATATTGCTATCAAGATTATTTTTAATGATATTATTTAATCGATATTTAATTAATACCCTACACAACATATACATAATATTCGTACCATCACAATACTAAAACTACTTCTAAACAAAGTAAATAAATATATTTAAAAAACCCCACTTATCCCAAAATTAATATCAATAATAAATTGATACCGCAATAAAAGTAAGTATATTATTAACTGCAAGGTACGTAATATTATTTGGAATATTATCTGTTCCCATTTGATGTTTATGTGTGTGTTGTGTGTGTATGTATAGAAATAAAGTAATCTATGAAAAGAATCTATAGAAAAAACCTTTTTTCTGATCTTGTTCGATAGCTCTCAAGAATATGCGATCAATATCTTCAAAAACTTTAGCACTTGATTGCGCCGCATTGATATAATAGTGAATACCTTGCAAAGCATAATAATCGACTAGTGGTTGCGTTTGAGTATGATAAACGGCTAATCGTTTCGTTAAAGCTTCTGCATTATCATCCGATCTTTTAACTAAAGGTTCACCGGTTTCCTGTTAATAAATAAATTATTATTATTTTATATTTGGATTCATTAAGTGATATAAATGACATATGTATTATTAATATTCGAATAAATCAAATGACTTACATCATCCGTCATAGGTTTTTTTGGCGGAGCAAATTCTTCGTGATACGATCTACCGCTCGCAGTATGTATTAAACGTCCTGTGATTCTTTTTATCAATAATTTGTCATCGATTCCAAATTCAACTACAGCGTCGAGTTTAGTTTTCCTCTTTTTTAGCATAGTATCTAACTACATAAATCCAATAATTATTACATATATATACGTACGAGTGTAATTAGCAAATTAAATAGATTAAATCTACTTTTAATCTTTTTAATATTACTGGTGACCATAGTCACCAAAAGTTTAATGCTTGCTGCTGTGCACTACCACTGACTGCAGGCACTCAATATTCTTATGCTAGCAGTGTCCTACTTGTGACTATAGTAACTCATTAATATTTTGCTTTGATTTTTAATTTTTAAAATCTGAATAAACAACTTATACAAGGTGATAAAAAAATAATTTTTATTATAAATAATTTAAGAGATAAAATATGACTATATTAGGATTAATATGATTATTTTTTACCCTATATGTGTTCTGAAAAACTATACGCAAAAAGCATACATGCTATTTCCATATTAAAATAATGAACGAACATAACTAAGAGTACGGAAGTAAAGCTTATTAAACTGAATGAATAGAGAAAATTTATACCATGCTTGTGTCAAAATAATCTCTATTGACATTGGTACATAATAATCTTATTTAAAACCTTAAACTTATATTTGTTTGTATCGAAAATAAAATGATCACGAAAATGAAGAAACCTAAATATATAAAAGTTGATATTGCAGAGTAACATTTAATTTTATGACCTATATCAATAGAATTTTTACTACTCTCCGTGTGCTTACTATAGCAAGTAATATATGTTCTTTATGTACTGAACTATATTTTTTAGTCACCTTGCATATATTTTCGATAATTTAAAAAAAAACAAAATTATATTATTTAATATAAATTAATAATAGAGAGAGTTTTTCTTATTGAAATTTACCTTCTCAGCTTGTGGAACACTCCTTGGAAAGCCATCCAAAAGAAAACCACGCTTACATTCGGGCTTATCCAAATTAGAATCGATCATACTAACTACAAGATCATCGCTAACTAATTTCCCTTCGTCTACAATCTTTTTAACTTCTTTACCAAGAGCAGTGCCAGAATTTATCTCCGCTCTTAACATGTCTCCCGTAGAGAGATGACAAACACAATATCTTTCTTTAAATAAAGGAGCCTGTAAAAAAAAAACGTAAAATATTATTACTGTATTCGTTGTTATCCCATAAAATGAAAAAAAAAATAAATTCAATAATAATTTTTACCTGTGTTCCTTTTCCGCTACCAGGTGGTCCTAATAAAATAGCATTAATACCTCTAGAAGGTATTAAAATATTTTCTTTTGTTACTTCTTTTGTTTTAGGCGTCATTTTTGTATATATTTATTGTTAAGATTTATGATTAAATGATGGAACTATAAAAAATATTTAATATATTAATACATAAAACCTCTTTAAGACCAGATGTTAACGTGTCTGTATGAATTCGGTCATGGGACGTATGTAACAAATGTATGGAAGAACAATCAGAGACGATCGTGCCACAAGGTCTCCCTCTTTAATTTACTATGTCGTAAGTACTTAAAGTGAATTGATCTTCGACCTATCAGCTTTAACTTTGCTGGTTACCGCCAATTTTAGAAATTACAAATGGTGACGAACATTCTAACGTATTTCAAATTTGAAAAATAATATTAAATACAACTAATATTTATTTTTTTATAATGCAATAAATATCATGCTACAATAAACCATTTTATATTATTTTTTATATAGTTTCTAATTAATTTTGAAGGAATTAAAAAATCTAACCTAACTTCGCGTAACTTATTTGACATGCAATTTAGATTATATAAGATTTTAATTTTATACAAACCTATGTTTGTTCTCATGACCTTTTGTTACGTGTGTAAAAATATTATAATAGATCAAAATATATAGATTTTGAAAAATGTTGTTAGATGATTACGTATTGATTTAAAAAAGATCGCACAAATTTCAATGCATATAAATTTATCATACACAATAATTTAATTTATTATTTTAAAATTATCTGATCTTTCTCACATAAAAACAAACATAATTACTAAAAAAAAAGAAAAAACTTTATGCAAACAAATGATAAAGATATATTATTATTATTATTATTATTATATACCTGCTCTCACTTATATTTGTTTAAAAATATACATAGGAAGTATGAAAATAAATGTAATATCATTTGCATTTTATTACATTAAATTCTGTAATATGTTTTCCTTTTTTTTTTTATCTTAGAATGAAGTTTTTCGTTAAGCAATGTACAATTTATATATTGAGAACGTATCAATGATTATAAAAAATATCAGTCTAAAACATAATAGCAAATTTTGTTTAACGTCGTCATAATAAATTTGATTTTTCCTCAACATCTTTGAGAATCAAAATTCTATTACTGCAAGAGAAAAAAAGTATACCTTAAATATAAAGTATTAATCATCGTGATATACATAAATAATATTTCATAATACTCCAGAAAAATATATGGCTATTTATTGTTACCAGACTATAGGATAAAATCCAGAATTTTGTTCCCCAAAGTAAGATCCCATATATAATTAGTTTTCTTATAATTGTTCTTAAAGTATATGAATTGAGAAATCTGTTTATGTCAATATATATATATATTATACATAATAGCATTTTACAGCAAATAGAAGCAATTTCAGCATCCAAATTATGTGTAAAAATATAATTTATTCCTCTTTATCATCGAAGGAACAACAAAAGGAACCCTTTAGTAAAAAGCAGTTGATATCTTTAAACAACAACAAGAGTTTATCCGTCTACGTACATTCTGAATGTTTGCAGATCTTAACTCTTATTATAGTTTTTTAATAAAATAATTTGCCTACATCAAGAATTTGTATGCAAGAATCTGCTTATATTTGCAAGTGTATTTAGGGAAGTTTGGCGATATTGTAATATTATTATTGTATGAATTGTTATCATGTTCACAAAATGTTTTCAAAGTTGAATAATATCATTTAACAATGGACAAGATTATTGTCTATATATGTATAATCGCTACAAAATCTTTTTTTTTAATGGTTTGAATTACTTTTTCTACTTATGATATATTTCAGCTTCTTTTTATTCTTTTTTATTTTTCTAACTAAAATATAAATAAAAGATCATATCGCAAAGATTATATGAACATATTTAGATACTACAATTAACATATTGAACATCAGCGCTTGTATTGCTTGTCTACGACTAAACAGATACTGACCTCTACATACATTTTTTCAGATTGACTGTTGATCTGATTTTTTACAGACCTTTGTCTGTGTTTTCTTAGAAATTAATCAAATGGAGAAAAAAATAAACGATAACAAATACAACATATCAATGCATAAAATGTGCTTACTTAGAATAAAAAAAGAGGAATCCTGCAATAATGCGGGGCTGGCGTTCAATGTGTTAGAATTATTTTTTTTCCTTTTAACAAACAGCGCAAACATAAAAAATCTTTTTTCACATAAAGCTGTATTATGCAGGTAAACTTATTGTGTGTTACCTATGTTAAATAAAAATCTTTGCTAAATCGTTGGGCTTATGTGTATATATATTACTCTAAATATTAAAAGTTTTTTTGTCTCCTATTGTAAACTTAGACTTTGATAATATCATGCTTTTTTATTCAACTATAATTTACTTATTTTAATTACTTTTAAACAAACGTTAATAACAAAAAACAAATAATATATACATATGTATATATAATTAAATAGATTTAGTTTATCTGACCAAAATTTTAGAATTAGTATGAGGACGGCGTGAAAATGGATAAAAATATATTTAAACTACAAATTTCTATTGCATTTGAACTCTTTGACATATTAAATAGCAAATATATAATCGAGATAATAATAATAATAATCGTAAAACTATATAAATTACATAAATTTGATAATATTGCTATAGTTTGCTTTTCTACTTTCTCGTAGATTGCAAAAATAAATAATTCAATATTTAATAAATATATGTGTGTCTAATAATTATTACATTTGGAACCCTGTATTTAGTATTAAAAATTTAATTTAAATCAAACTTATCAATTAATCATTTTATAGATAATACCATTCATTTAATGCACATAGTTCCTGCATAGTACTTAGTGAAAGAAAGCAGATAGACGCTTTTATGAAGTTTTTAAGTTCCATTCCGTTAATCTATGTTCATACAAACTCTGAGTACAAATTATATGTACACACATGTTTTAGTTTTTATTTTTTATTATTATTATTATTATTATTATTATTATTATTATTATTATTATTGTTATTATTATTATTATGAATTTATTTGTGGATTACGCATTTAGCTAAAATTGAGACTGACTGTTTGATACCTAAAAAAAAAATTATTATGTATCTTTAAGTTAAGATTAAAAATATTATCATAGTCAATTATGTTTTTTATTCCTCTCAAATATTGCATGATACTTGGTGTTAACATTTTATCATCTAGAAGAATTGTGTGTATATCTCACAATTATTTTTATTTCGTTTCGCATTTTAAATTTAACATTTTATTAGCCAAATTTTTGTATTTTTGTTTTGTTTTACTCACGATCGTTAAAAATGTTTAGTTATTTGGTCATAATGACTCATTAACAATATTATGTAATATCCTAAAAATGGCAATATTATATATATGTATATAACTAAATACTTCTGCATGTGTGTAAAATAAATAATCACAGAAGCATGAAAACTAACATTGTATGTATCACACATTTTACCTTTCAAGGCAAAGTGACCATTTAATTTTTTTATTACGATAGTATGCAAATATTCTATCATTTATATATATTCATATATTTATCGCATAAGAATACTTAAAAAATATATAATCTAAATTGTACTATATTGCTTTATAGAAAGAAGAAACTAGATAATCATTCTAATTTAAAGGTACAAATTCGTAAACTTTGACGAATATCGTGAAAAAGCGTAGAAGAAAAATATATTTGCATTTATCCTCCAATTACATGCACTTCTTTTTTTTTCTCTTTCAAATAAAATAACATTCACATACTAATGCTCTATATATATATAATAATAATAATATAATATAATATATTAAAAACAATAATACTCCTATGTAATGATAATAACTTTGGAATATTTGCATATAACCGATTTAACTTATTGTACAGGTCACATGTTAAAACTACTATTTGCAAACGTTGTTTACTTATAGTTCATTTGATAAAATGTTAAATAACACTGCCAGGATGGTATTCATATATAAATCAGCGCAGCTTCATTTTCGTCATCTCTATTATTCGTCCTTTGCTTATAATGTGCAATACAGAATTTAAATCTGCATGTTAATTATTATACAAACGCGTTTAGTTTTATTCTAAATATACATATGTACGTGTACATATTTTGGGAAATTCATCACCGAGCAATTTTTTTTGTACAATACTATATTAATAATAAATGTCTTTCTCTACCTTTCACATAGATATATATATCTTGTAGTAGGTACATTTTTGTATTTAATATAAGCGCTATTTATCATCAAGAAACATTGCAAATATTTTAATGCAATGCAATTATCAAATTCATTGTTCTCTCTTTCTCTCTCACTTTTATACATTCTTACATTAATTGGGTATAATAAATTATTTCCTCATCTTTCATCGGTAATTAAAATCCAACAAATCCTGTTCACACTTCAATATTTCATTTCATGCCAGATATCGGACATGTTTAAAAAGTGAAGTAAATATTATCCAAATGCATCTTATTCATCAATACTGTACCAGAAAAGTGTAAGTCCATATACAAACCATTAGCTGAAATCTATATAGAAGAAAGTTTCATTTAATTTTCTTTGTATATTCATCTTGAAAAAAGTTTCAAAATACCGTATTTAACAGTAATTCTCAACAATTGATATTTCTCAACAGTGTAATGATTAATTATTTAACACATTAGTTAATCTAATGTGTTAATCGCCTATTTCATATAGTCTCTTGACTATTAACCGATTGTGAACTGCGTGATGTTTTACGATTCATTGGTTCCAGATAAGCTGCTGGTGCCCATCCTTCAAGACCTGTCCCTATGAGTTTAACAAACCACCAACCTGCGCAACCAACTTTCAGTAGTTCTAAATTGTCACCTTCATGCATAGTGACTTCAGATTGCCCAACAGCGCAATAATCTGCTAATGCTACATATCTTCCACCCTAATGGCAAATAAATATTTTCTATCATATATATGTATTATACATAAATATATATATGTATAAATATATATTATGTATAATAAATGTATTTTCCTTTTTAAAGCTACTATTATATTCCATTAACTTGGAAATAATAAACTTACAGGTGCCGAACCAGGACTATCACCGAAAGCATCTTCATCGTCAGTATTACTATTTTCTGAACTCCAAGCAACATCGTCTTCCGTTGATTGAGACACATCGGTTATGTGTGATATGACGCTATTGCCATCCACTGAAAGTGTGCGTAAAGATCCAGAAATACTACTTTGAGCTTCCCA